ACACACACACACACACACACACACACACACACACACACATACCACCACCGCCACATACAAACACTCAAATAAATGTAATTTACAAATTTAAAATTCAGAGAGGGGCTGGAGAGATGGCTCAGTGGTTAAGAGTACTGGCTATTCTTCCAGATGACCTGGGTTTCAGTTCCCAGCATCCACACTGTGGCTCACAACTGCCTATAACTCTAGTTCCAGGGGATCCAAGTATCTTGTTCTGGCCTCTGCAGCACCAGGTGTACACATGGTGCACAGACATCTATGCAGGCACAACACAAGTGAACATCAAATAAAACAGTAAAACACACTTCTCAAACTCAATTCAAAATAGACAAGACATGGCTCACAGATGTGGAGGTCAGGGAGAACAAGGAAAGCGTGCAGGCCGGGCATGAAAGGGCTTGTCCAAGAAGCCTGTGATGCATCAGGCCCCCAGACACTTTCTTGGGCCCTTGTTCCCTCACTCTTGCTTCTGTGGAAATACATCCAGGAGAGGGAGGGAAATGTCTTTGATCTTTGTGTCCCTGAAAATGGAATCTTCCATTGACACATGATCGAGGCTTTGGCTGACTATAAAATCCTAATTTTGGCCAGCTACAAAATTCCAGGTTGGAAATGATTTTCCTTATGAGGGCGTTGAAAAAAATGTCTCCCAATCCAAGATTGCTGTTGAAAATCATAGATATTTTACTCCTATCTTTTGAAGTAATCTTCTGGCTTCTCCACCCCACCCCACCCCACCCCACCCCCACCCCGTTCCTTCGGTACCCAGCTTCCCTTTCCACGCCTGCCTGGGAAACTTGGAGCTCTGCTCTTGAATCCCAGTGAGTTTGCGGTTTTGTGTCATTCACTCTTCTATCTTCAGGAGTGGTGAACCTTTAAATGGGCACTCATTTTTTTTTCTTTTATTGAAGATGGTTTTTCTAATACAATATATCCTGATTATGGTTTCCCCTCCCTCTACTCCTCCGAGCTTCTTCCCATCTCCCCTCCCTTTACCCCATTTCTGTCTCTCATTAGAAGGAAAAAAAAAAAACAGGCTTCTGTGGGATAATAATAAAATGAAATGAATATAGTAAGATAAAAGAAAAACTAGCACATCAGAATTGGGCAAAACAAACCAACAGAAAGAAAAGAGTCCAAAAGAAGGTCACAAGAAGCACAGACCCACTCGTTCACACACTCAGGAATCCCCTAAAACACTGAACCGGAAGTGATAATGTAAGGGCAGAGGACCTGATGCAGATCCATAAAGACCCTGTGCATGCTGCCTCAGTCTCTGCGAGTTCATATGACCTTTGATCCTTTTGATTTAGAAGGCCACCTTTTCTTCTTTTCCTCTTTCTTTCTCCATTCCCTCTGGCTCTTATGCATGGTTCCCTGACCCCTGAGGGGAGGGATTTGATCGAGACATCCCCCTTAGGACCGAGTGTTCCAAGGTCTCTCACTCTCTGCATTATATCTGGCTGTGGATCTCTATCCTTTGTTCTCATCTGCTTCCCTGGCCTGAGTCAACACTCACACTCTTTTTTTTTTTTAAACATAATTTTTTATTGATTCTTGGGGAATTTCACATCAGTCACCCCAATTCCACTCATTTCCCAGTTCCTCTATAGCCAAAGATGTATTCATCTGTGTAGCACCCCCCAAAGGAAACCTTTAAAAGAAATAAAAAATAAATAATACAAATAAGAATATTAAATAAAAAACAAAAAACCCAAAAGACCAAAAAAATACAAAAGTAAGCAAGCAAACCAACAAACAAAAGACCCGGAGAGTTGTCCCTGCCCCTCACCAGCTGTAGCACTCTGGAGAGTGGCCCCTGCACCTGGCCTGGGCAGCACAATAGAGCTGGCCCTGAAGGTGTCGGTGTGGAGAGCTGACCCTGAGGACATGAAAGAAGAAGGACCAGTCCCACCCCTTGTTCCTTGTTGCCAGGGTTGAACTAACCAGGGCAGTGCCAGCTCGCCTTGGTCATGAGGACAGGGGAGGGCTGGCAGGATGACCAACATTGCAACTACCCAGGCCCAGAACTAGAGCTGGCCCCTCAATATCCACCCCATCTGTGGTCTGCTGGAGCACGTGAAGGGGCCGGTCCTGCAGACCCAAAGCTGCAGGATCTCCACGACACAGAGCAACAGCAGGATGTCCAAGAGGAGTCCCAGTGAGGGCCCAGCATCGATAGCGTGGCAGAGACCAGAGGCCTCGAATCAGACCAATGACTCTTTGAAATGAACACTTGCAAGTAAAGATACATGGATAAAAGGGTAAATTGTGTGACTCACTGTGCCATACTACAGCTTCCATGATGAGATTTTTCTTTCTTTCTCTTTTTTCTCTTAAATTTTATTTTACCTTATAGGGGGGGTTTCCAAGAGCAGAGGGCATATAAGTAGGGATGGGGAGATGAATGGGATCGAGATGCATGCTGTGAAAGACACAGAATATGAATTTTCTTAAAAAGTAAAATAAATAAACAAAAAAGAACACTTCCCTCCTCCATCTTTCCTATCTCTCCATCTGCTCTTCATTCAACTTAGCGACATTGTGAGCTTCAATGTGTCACAAAATTCACTTTTGTCCAGACAGCTTTACTTGCAAATGTTCATTGTGTAATGTGTTGTTGGTTGGGTTCCAGACCTCTGGCTTCTGATACACCATGAACGCTGGACCCTTACTGAAACTCCAACAGAATGCCCTGCTGCTGCCCTGAATTGTGGAGATTCTGTGGCTATGGTTCCACAGGACCAGTCCCTTCACACACTCCAGCAGGTCATAGATGGGGTAGATGTTGGGGAGTGCCAGCTCAAAGCCCTGTATGTGTGCCTGGGTGGTAGCTGGGTTGACCTGGTCAGTCCAGGCCATTGGGATCATCCCGCTCAGGTGAGGGATAAAGCCAGCTCTTCCACAATCACTCTTAATAAATCTTCTCATACTAAAAAGAGATTCTATTGAGAAAATTCTTAGGAAACAAAGAAATAACAGATTATTGGATGCAGCTGAAGACTTAGAGAGAGAAAAAAAAAAAAAAACCTCCCAAAGGAAATGTGGAAGAGTTAGTTGAGCTATTAGAAGTAAATAGCCATAGAAGAAAAAGCATATAAAAATTTAGATATGAGTCAATTAATAAACTCAGGGAGAAAAAGAAGACAAGAAACATTGTTACAATCTACCTATTAGGTGTCTTGTGAGCTGTGTTTATTTACATGGTCATAAAAATATAAACAGTATTGACATAACTGAAATTTCAGAAATAGCTCTTTTGGAAGGATGGGTGTGAAGAAGTGGGTGGGTGTGGATAATGTCTAAAAATGATAAATCCAAAAATAGCATTTTAGACAGTTTTTTTTATATATAAATGGAGCAAAGACAGAAGAAGTTTAGAGAGTTGCTTGTGGTTGACTCTGGAGGATCACAAGGGATGCAGTGGAAGACTCCTGGTGTTCTCTACAATACTTTGAAACTGATGTATAGATGTACACTTTAGTTAGACATGAGTCGTATAAAGACAAATGCTACCACAAAAACCTCAGTTTTTATATCTGACCAGCAAATGTCCAATTTTCTTATTAACTTCTAAATTGAGTGTAAAATCTGGCTTTGGAGCTCTGAACCATTTCAACCTGTGTGGAAACTTGGCGAAGAGATGACTACAGCCCTGTAGACGTGGACGGACATTACTTTCTGGGTCCACAGAACAGGCACTTCTTGCTTGTGATGGAATATGAACTGCGTGAGGCCCCTTTTGTCCCGTGCCACAGAGGCCAAGGCATTCATTTTGCCGACATAGGGGCTCTGTCAAACTGTGACCAAACCAAGCACAGAAACATGGACCATGGAAAAAACAAAGGAAATGGGAAAACACTGCATAATTTGTGGTCTCTAAAATGCTCCAGCATTAATGAAAGTTTGTTTTAAGAAGTGATTTATGTCAGCTTTGTGTAGTTCAGGTCAATTCATGAAAAGGTAGATTCCCTCTGCCAGGAAGAAGGGAAGAAATGTATAAATTGTAAGTTTATATTGCCATTGGAAATAAGAACACAGAAATCCATTATTAAAAGCACGCTCACTAGCAAATTTATCCTGGCTGGCTGGAAGCTGTGGCCCTGAGTCAGGATCCTCTTTTAGAAGACTGGTTCCATTACCTTCAGCCTGTAGACAGTAGGGGCTTAGTCAAGAGAGCGTCACAATGTCGGCTTTGGGAACCGTCATTTTCACTTTTTATAAGTGGCGACTGGCCACTGGTCTCCATGTGTAGCTCCTTTGAGATGAAAGGCACACGACCCCAGGGCAGGTCCCTCTCAAGGCCGAGACTAGTCTAGACTTGAATGAGGTCTATAGCACTCTGGTGACTTCTAGAACTCTCCAGCCTTTTGAGACTAACATGCTTAATTTCTGTGGAATTAGTGTTTCCAAACCAAATTTTAAAATAAACATAGATTGCAAATTGTCTGTAAATCTTAAACTGCCCTAAAAAGTAGATTTTAAAAAAAAATGAGTGGACCTAAGAAAACGACTGTGGTGTTTTTTGCAATAGGGCAGAACATTATCTAGAATTATTATAGAATGTAGAGGTGATTTATAGATTATATTCTAACTTGATACTTTCAGAAAAGCAGTTTGTTAAAAATTGCCATAAAAAACTATTTCACCTCTCACCTCAGTTTCTATTACTAGAAAAAGAAAACTTAGCACTATTGGTTTGTATTTCGAAGGACAGTTTATGGGAGTTTACATTTTTTAAATGAAAAGTAGTTTGTCTACAGAGTAACAGAAAAAAATATTATATTAATGGTTCAAGGTCTGCCTGGTTACTGTGAAGAGCTCCTTTTTAAGTAATCTATTCTACAGGATCAAATGCCAATAAGATTTAAGCATGTTGGGGGTGTTGATAATATGAAAATGATGGTTTCTTGTCCATCCAAGGATTATTTATTCCATGGAAGCATAAGATAGCTGCCTCTTTTATTTGCTTATTTTTTGAAACTAGGCTTTGGTTTTGTATGTTCACCATTAAGTGCTAAATATTTTTAAATGATTGAGCTCTGATTATTATAATTTTACAAAAGGTTTTCTAGTTGCTCTCTAGAAAGCATCTAGACATTTGCAATTGGCTATCTCTTTAAAAAATCTTAGTATGTTCACTTGGATCAACCTGAGTGGCTTAGATACAGGCTTTTAGATCAGTTTTGGAGGAGGCAGTAATAAAGAGGACAGACAAGGTCGTCTCTTCTCATGGAGAAACAAGTAGGGAATCAATAAGGATGAATGGTGCTCCAAAGGAGAGTGATGGAGGGAACCCAGGACAGGAACACTTCTTGAAGGGAGAGATCCTGAGACACATCCCTGGGAAAGCTACATTTGACCTTAAACTGGAATAGTGAAAAGAGCCATCAGAGTTGAAATTGGGTGGGAAGAGAAATCCTTGCACCAGGAGCAGAATGCTCAAAAGCTCTGAGAAAAGGGGGAATGGTCTGCCAGGATGGAAAGATACAGGGAGAGGATGAGAGGAGAGGCCACTGGCAGGTACCTAGATTTCATTCTAAATTTACCAGAAGCATGAAGGTGGAGAGGTTGCCTAGAAGCAGAGTGCGTTGGGTTTACTTTTTAGGAATGATCAGAATGACTAAGGAGCAAAAAAAGAAAGTAGACCTAGGAAATGGCAGCCTGAACCTAGGAGACAGTAGTGGTATGGAGGAAGATGCAGGTGAGTTTTGGAGACAGAATCATGAGGACTCACTCTTGGATGAGATTGATGAGTCAGACAGACAAAAGCAGCCTCTGGGAACCTCTGTGGCTTGGACATGTTGGTTTTAAGACAGAATTTTATTTTAATATATATTATATTGTTGGTTTCTAAGATTAGTGGATGAGCAGGGATGGAGGGGAAAGATCACATGAACTGTGAGATTCTGGCCTAAAGCTTTGAAGAGAGATAAGAAAAACAAGAAAACTCAATTCTAGATTGATTGCTAGTAGCCCAGAGGGTGTAACAGGGGATTCCATGAAAAGAGGCCTTCAAAATGTCTCTCTGTATATTCTTTGTGCTTGTATCATTGTATTCTGAAAAGGCACACATTTTCCACTCTCAGATACAAATTTAAAAATTCAATCTTAAAATCAGTTGTGTTTTTGAAAAATATACTGATTTTATTTATGCTACAGGTCTGTTAGTCCATGTAAAGTTCAATTATAGAAAACTAGGTTAAATACGATGCTTAATTAACTAATTTCTACAAGATTAGTTTTTTGGCCCAAGTTTTATATTCACATTGGTTTATTTTTCTCTTTCCTCTAGCCTTGCCAGCGTTTACCAAAAGAACCATTGCCCAAGATCCAGCTTCAATCAAGGAAGATGCCACAAGTTTACCAGTGAATGGAACAAATCCACAGTCCAAGAAGGAGGAATATGAGAGCAGAAAATACAAAATATAATTCACAACTTTACTTGAGTATTTTACAAATAATACCCTATGGTTCTTTTTGCCCTTTGGCTCAGATTATCTAAAGACATCATGTGGCTTTGGCTCCCTGGAACTGCCCAGCATTGACTATCACGGCTTTACAGTCAGTCTTTGTGAGTGAGAGTAAGTTTAGCCAGTGGAAGTAATATCAACTTATGAACGATACACAGCTCACTTAGAGGCAACTCATACCGGCAGAGAAAGCGATCATTTTTGCTTTGTATTTTCCCAGTGTCACACTTTTCCAAACCAACCTTGAATTTATAATTGATGCCTTTCAAAAATGACTGGCTGGAAGGAGGGGAAAAAAATGTTCCCTCCAGGCAAAGGTTTAGAGTCGGGAGCGTTTGGACATGATTGATTTTTAAATACTTTCTCCCTAATCAGTTCTCATGTGTTGTACCATGGCATGGAGATGCCTATGTAATATGAGACTGCCTTTTAAATGCTTATCACCACTCATCTGTTATGGCAGCAGTCTATTACGACACGTAGTATCTTAAAACTATCCCAATGATCATTTTTAATTGCAAAAGAATTTATAAATGATAGCTGAATCGTAGATCACTGTAAAGAATTCACAGCACCATTTATTTATTTGTCTTGTTGTGGCCAAATGTCCTACTGTGATCACCGCAGTCATACCCTGGATGATCTTTGGTTTGCTCTGACTCAAATCCCAGCACCGCTCCCCTGTGACAGTGGGGTTCACTCTGCAAGAGCCCCTGTATACTTTGGTGCTACCTGACTGCTTTTTACATCCCAGCATTTTCAACATCAAAGTGTTTGTAAAACCTTACCGCCTTTCCATGTTCATCTACCAGTGAAGAAAATTTTATATTCACATGCTAAAGAATGGTCATCATCCAGGAAGTGAGTCCCCCTGGGCCATGGTGGAAAGCCTCTGCACAGATACAGGAACAATAAAGCAATCCTTTGTAATGTACATTGCCTGTTGTGTCTGTTAAAACACACATGTGTTTATTACATTTCTCACATTTCATAAAAATGCTGTATTTTCACTCAAAATATGTTTTACTGATTTACCATAACACTTGAAGCTGTGGAAGAAATGAGCCTTCCCTTTTGGTTTTTGTTGTTGTTGTTGTTTGTTTTGTTTTGTTTTTTGTTTTTTGGGGTTTTTTTTGTTTTTTCGAGACAGTGTCTCTCTGTGTAGCTTTGCACCTTTCCTGGAACTCACTCTGTAGCTCAGGCTGGCCTTGAACTCACTGAGATCCACCTGCCTCTGCCTCCCAAGTGCTGGGATTACTAGGCTCACAACCAAAAATATAAGAGCCTTCCCTTTTTGTGAACATGAAGGTAGGTCTTACAACAGGACATGGAGCTGTTTCCTATCAAAGAATTTCTACATGCTGCATAAGCTCTGAGACCACATACCCAGTGCACCCCCTCTTCTTGAGGAGTTCCTGTGTGTTAGTGATAAGAAGGAAAAAAGCTACCAAGGCAGGTGTGTCTGTCCCAAAAGCACGTCTGGTGTTATAATATACATGGGGGAGGGGTAAATGTGTTTTAGCCAGCTAGAAATAAATCTGAGCTTCACATCTTTGGATTTTGTCTTCCCTGCCTCCAGAAGGTCTCAGTGTTCTGAGGAGGAACTCATTAGAAGTAGCTCATTGATTTAAAAAAAAAAAAAAAAAAAGAAGTAGCTCACTGCCATCCACTGTGACGTATAGCATCTAGGATAAGATGTTAGGGCTCTGAGAAATTAGTATTTGTACTGAGTTTTGACTAGCACTCTCTTTAACAATATCTTTTTAATCTTTGGAAGGTCCATATGTTTCTACAGCATAGTTATATCTCTCTCCCACTACTCCCCTCCCCTCACAATCTCCCTAGTGGTCCCTACTTCCTAGTTTCATATCCTACGTATGCAAGTAGGTGTGTGGCCATCTGCTGAGCATGAGCAGCTTACCGGTGGCCACATCTCAAAGGAGAATAATCCTCCCTCCCTCAGGAGCTATCAGTTGCCAGTTGCTCCTCAAGTAGGAATGGGGCCTCTAGGCCCCTCCCTCACTTGTGCTGTGCTTTTGACTGTCGTGATCGTCTACAGTTCTTGTTCAGGTCAACAGAGCCGCTGTGAGATGGTGCATGCGCACACATGTCAAGAAGTCAGCATTTCACCGCATTATTTCCCACCCTCCAGCCCTCGCATTCTTTCTGTGTTCCTTCCCGAGCCAAGTCCCCTGATCCTTGGATGGTGAGACACTAATACAGCTCAGCACTCAGAATCATTTCTCCTGTGTGCTTTGACCAGTCATGAGTCTCTTTATTAACCACTATCCGCTGCAAAGGAAAAAAAAGGGTGAGGGAGGGTTCTCTGACCAAATTTAGGAGAAGCATAAATCCATGGGTATGAACATAAATATTTAGGACGCAATTTGACAGTGTGACTATTTACAAAGTAACAAGACTGGGTTCACCCTCAGACCTATGACCTCCCCAGATATATATATATATCCAGGTGTGAAATGGAGCAGGGCTCATAGAAATTAGAAAGTGGTTGGCTACCCCCATAACCATTATCCCTCTGTTGCATCAGTGAGTACATCTTGCTAGTAACTCAGTGTTGTAGCATGTACTATCCAGTCTTAAGATCATTGGTATCTTTTTTCCTCCAGCAGCCTACATAGCATCTTCTGCCCTTATATAAGTTAGTCAGCAGTGAGAGTTCTTGTCAGTTTGGGGTTGATTTTTCAATGTCCTGCATCCAAAGTGAGTTGTGTCTTCAGCAATAGGTTCTTGCTATCTAGTTATGTGGGCAACCAAGAGCAATGACAATCTGGATTAACACTCTAGTTTATCTCCTTTGAACTATGTAACAGTGAAGAATAAGAAATAAAATTGATGGCCTTTATTTAAATCCCAAAGGCAAAGGTTTGAAAGCATTTCCTTTCGTGTACAGGCAAGACTGTATGCTCTCCCTATGTAAAGGGACTGTCTGAACTTAGGGAACTGATCTGAACCACGCTTAATACATCTATGATAACACACAGACTTTACAATAGGCTAGTCAGACCTGAGAGTTGGAGGGAACTCAGACTATTGATTCAGAAAATCCTTTAAAGCATACTAGCTTATGATTTTATAGCCAAATAGAACGCGTGTGAAAGAACTCTTAAAAATGAAAAAAAAAAAAAGGCAAGTATATCATTCAGTGCCCTATACTGCTGTTGGATGAATGAAGGTGTTTGACTTTTTGGGTCCCACCAGAAGAAAGCCAACTCTTTGTGAGCAACAATTTGTCAAAATTCCTTGGCTGCTTGGCGTCTATTTTTATGGACTGAAATCCGAGGCCCTGTCTCCTCTCAAGATTTTTCCCATCTCTTGCAGTTACCCGGAGCTTCAGCCGAAAATCAAGAGGAAGGTTAAGTCTTATTTTTACCTCCCAGAGCCAGCAGCTCCTTTTCCCTTCTCTCCTCTGGCAGGGTTGCCTGGGTTACACGTGATAAGAGCCTCACTGAAGTTCAGCCGTGTTGCTGGTAGTACTGGGAATGTGAAAGGGTTCAGTCTTCGGCAGGGCACCTGGTCCAAAGCTTAATTTGAAGACTGACCTTTTTGGTTTAATAATTTTGGTTCTTCTGGCCATCTTTCTTCCTAAACACACCAAACTTCTATTGAAGTTGCTGAAGGCCACAGAAGGAAGAAACAGCTGGGAGAATTCTGGCTCACTGTTTTTCCCATTGGCTAAGGTCATATTATTCCCCTGACCAGTGTCTGACTTGAAGGTTGGAAACCAATTGGTTATATAACATTTTATGTACCTAGTTTCCCAGAACTAACTTTATTCTTAGTATAGCTTATTTATGTTCCCAGCAGAGAGATAAAGCTGGTAGCATAGTAAAGTAGTGTGCATTATCATTTAAGGGTTGCTCATGTAAAAAGTATATATCCACTTAAGAAGCCTTTTTGCCTTGTGCCTATGGTAGATGTCTGTTTATGGTTTAAATCCCAATTCACTAGAATGAAGTTCATATTCCCACACATCTAATTGAAGGGTAGGAAAAATGCTTATGTGAGAAGCAGGGCTTTGGATTCCAAGCCCCCAGATGCATTTCAGAGAAGTTACCCTTGCTTTGGATTAGAAGCAAAATAATCCAGTCTTCACTGCCAGAAAAAAACAGCTCTGCCCTCCCTCCAACACGGCCTGCCTCATCTTAGCTCCCATTACATCTGTGTCCATGTTTACATCCCACCTGAACTCAGAGACCATTACCCTTCTTTTCTATCTAATCTGTAGTAATTGGGACCAGATTCTTACATATAACAAGACAGCATGTTTGCTAAGCAAGGTCTTTTCCACTTAGATTGTTTTTCCTAGGATTTGAGTGTATTATAAAAACCTAAGTATACATCATATGGTAGCCAGGAATGTGAATGAACACTGAGTAAGATTCCTTTTTGAAAATTCTTATGCCCCCCAAGCAAATTATCCCAATATTTTCTCCCCATTTTAGACAAAACAAAACAAAATTTGTGATTTTCACGGCCTTCAAATGAGGAAGCAGTTCTCACGAAAGCATCTGGCTTTCTTGGATCAAAACTAAAGCATGAGCCTTAAGCTGGAAAGCAAATCGAAGCGTTTGTATATAAAGGCATTCCATGCTCCAAAGTATGATATAAAAATAGTTACATTTTTCAACTTTTAAGTCTTCAAATGTTTAGCAGGAGAAAAATAACAACTTATTCCTATTTGAGGAAAGAGCTCTAAACCATGAAAGATTTCACTTAGTCTCATTTCCATATAAACACAACACATCTAATTGAAGGGTAGGAAAAATGCTTCTATGAGAAGCAGGGCTTTGGATTCCAAGCCCCCAGATGCATTCATCTGAGAGGTTACCCTTGCTTTGGATGCGAAGCAAAATAATCCAGTCTGCTCTGCCTGGAAAAACCAGCTCCACCCTCCCTCCAACATGGCCTGCCCATCTTAGCTCTTGTTACATCTGTGCTCATGTCTGTATCCTACCTGAAACCAGGCCCAACACACATCTGACTACTTTACCAAGCTAATTGGCCTCTGATGTCTCCTAGCCATACAGTCCATATGGAAGAGCTGGTAGGGGGTGGGGAGGCACAGGGCAGGGGATGTAGCACCCTAGTTCTTTCTACAGTCAGTACCATATGCTTAGATATGGAGATGAGAGGTCCATGCCAGGTGTCTTTTTCAATTGCTTCTCTGCCTCATTTTTGGAGACAGGGTTTCTTATTTAATCCAGAACTCACTGATGCTGCTAGACTAGATGGGCAGCAAAGCCTGGAGATTGACCTGTCTGTCTACTACTGCCCCAGCCCTGGCCTTACAGGTTGCTGAGGAATCAAAATAAAGGCCTCAATGTGTGCAGGATCTTCTGAGCCCCAGGCCCTAGAAAAGTCTTCTTTTTAAACTCACATATTATTTTAGTGCTTTTGTGGTTGAAACCCTAGGAAGACTGTGCCTGGCTATCTTTCCTTGCCTAGCATAGCTCATCATAGATTTCCATGCAAAGCCCTGTGGTACTTGTGAATGAAAAGTTTCCACCTTTAATTTTGTTCAGTTGTTGTATCCTACAATTGCTGCTGTGTTTTCCTATCATTATATACAGCCATTTGCACATTGTATTTATTTGTACATCAAGTATCCGAGAACTTATTTATATTGCTTTCTTTGCCTTATAGCAAAAAGAACAGGTACAAAATATGGGAAGAGCTGCAGATGGGATTTAAAATTTTAATTTTGGAATCGATGCCCTCTGTAAGTTTTTCCCTTTCTCTGATCATCCCGCCTAACTCTTATTCAGTGTTATCCCTAGAGTGGTGGTAATTTCTGTTTGCCCATTTTTGCTGAGCACTTCACTGGATAAGGCACCGAAGGATGTCAGGGATGGTATAAAAATGAGATAAATAGAGGAAGCGGTGTGCCTTCAACAACACACATTTTGAACTGTT